ACGCAGGATTTCAGACAAAAAACGAGCTAGTTTGTAGGTGGGGGAGCTGATAGTAGAGACTATGGGACGAAGAGGTGTATCAACTTTATGTATTTTTGGTAAGCCGTATAATCTTGGTGGCCTGGCAGCAGAAGGTTTCAACGAAAACTGTTTAGATTGATCAATTAATGCGGTTGAATCAGAAATTATTTTGTTGGTTTGTGTGACGAGGCTGTTGGTGGGATCTCTTTTTATTTTTGTATAACTACCATCGTCGAGTAATTCTTTAATTTTGTTGTTGTATTCTATTTTATCCATGATAACAGTAGCATTGCCTTTGTCAGCTGAGAGAACTACAATATCATTCCTCTTTTTTAATTTATATAATTCAAAACGCTCATCTTTGCTGAGGTTGCTAGCTGGCATCTTAGCGTTTTTGAGGGTTGCAGCGATTTCAGATCTTGCTACGTCTGCAGCGATGTGACCCAGGCCCCTGAGAGCAACGTCTACTTGGGCAATTATATCATTAACTGGTATGTGTTTAGGTGTGACTGCAAAGTTTAGACCTTTAGCTAAAACGGATTTCAGACCATCGGAAATAGAACTGTTACTGCGATTAATTACGACTTTATTAACGTCTAACTTTTTGGTGTGTGGGTCCGGTCTTTTGTTTAAGAGGAGGTTAAATTTGGAAATCAGGTTTTCCTTACATTTGGTCGACATAGTAGCAGCTGAAGAGGCAGTCATATTGTCTACATGTTTTCAGTTCTTGATTGATTGTTCACGCTTACAGTGCCTTTCAGACAGCATACATAAAAACAAATTTCGTCTCCCCCCTCCTCCTTTCAAAAAATAGATGGACTAGTCCTGGCAAACTGCCATCGTTGCGCGTGACGCAAACGTTATTTTTATATATATAAATAAATATGCCGTTTTCAAAATAAATTTATGCAAACCGACACACCTGATGATGACCGTTTGAGTTATGGTCGAAACGTCGTGAGAATTTTTTATTGTTTTATATATATTTTGTTATTTTGTTGTTTCTCTTCAACGTGACTTTACCGAAAAAACTAAGAATATGAATTACTGCAGTCACGAAAGCTTTAAATCAAAATTTAATCGCCTCTACGGGGAGGGTTTTCACATAACTTTAAGATCTTTCAACAAACTCCGGGATAAGAAAGCTCAGCTGATCGAGTCTCTCACCTTCCTGAAGAGATGCCGCGACTCTGGGGTAATACCAATCGCATTTACACTCACCTCTGCTACTGTAACTTCTTCTAATGCGAAACGAATTCTTTTCAAAACTAGCTTAGCTCTTATCTCAGAAAAAATCAGACTTATACGCACAGAACTAGATCAGTTAGACAAGACACTCTACAAATCACACTTATCATTGACGGCAATAATGTCCACATCGGATTGGGAACATGTAGACAATATGACTGCCTCTTCAGCTGCTACTATGTCGACCAAATGTAAGGAAAACCTGATTTCCAAATTTAACCTCCTCTTAAACAAAAGACCGGACCCACACACCAAAAAGTTAGACGTTAATAAAGTCGTAATTAATCGCAGTAACAGTTCTATTTCCGATGGTCTGAAATCCGTTTTAGCTAAAGGTCTAAACTTTGCAGTCACACCTAAACACATACCAGTTAATGATATAATTGCCCAAGTAGACGTTGCTCTCAGGGGCCTGGGTCACATCGCTGCAGACGTAGCAAGATCTGAAATCGCTGCAACCCTCAAAAACGCTAAGATGCCAGCTAGCAACCTCAGCAAAGATGAGCGTTTTGAATTATATAAATTAAAAAAGAGGAATGATATTGTAGTTCTCTCAGCTGACAAAGGCAATGCTACTGTTATCATGGATAAAATAGAATACAACAACAAAATTAAAGAATTACTCGACGATGGTAGTTATACAAAAATAAAAAGAGATCCCACCAACAGCCTCGTCACACAAACCAACAAAATAATTTCTGATTCAACCGCATTAATTGATCAATCTAAACAGTTTTCGTTGAAACCTTCTGCTGCCAGGCCACCAAGATTATACGGCTTACCAAAAATACATAAAGTTGATACACCTCTTCGTCCCATAGTCTCTACTATCAGCTCCCCCACCTACAAACTAGCTCGTTTTTTGTCTGAAATCCTGCGTCCTTTCACTGGAAAGACCACCTCTGCGGTACAAAATTCTACTCACCTGGTATCAACAATCAAGGGTATTTCCCTGTCCCCAGACGACCTGCTTGTCAGTTTTGATGTAGTTTCCTTATTCACCAAGGTTCCTGTACCTGACACCATTGCAATCATTGAAGACTTGGTTCATCAAGGACTAAACACTGAGGTACCCCCCCTGGTGAGACACTGTTTAACCAATACATACTTCACTTGGAATGGAACTTTCTACAAACAAACTGAGGGCACCCCAATGGGCTCCCCCCTTTCTCCAGTTATAGCTAACATTTTCATGGAGAAATTTGAGACTGACGCCATCCAGACTGCCACTCTGCGCCCAACCTTATGGAAGAGGTACGTGGATGACACTTTTGTCATCTGGCCACATGGCCGGCCTGCTCTAGACAAATTCTTCGACCACATCAATTCCATACACCCAGCCATCAGATTTACCATGGAAGTCGAAATAGATGGCAAGATACCTTTTTTGGATGTCCTAATTAAAAAGAGACCTGATGGTTCAATGAGCCACTCTGTCTACAGGAAAGCTACCCATACGGATGCTTATCTGAAACCGGATTCCCACCACCATCCATCACAGAAGAATTCTCTCATCAAGACTCTGTATCATAGAGCCCAATGCATATCCGACCAGGAACACATAAGCAGTGAACTCAAGCACGTACACCAAGCTCTTAGGGCTAATGGTTACTCCGACTATACAATCCGCAAAGCTATCACTCAAACCATGAAGAAGAACCCTCTTGAGGAGCCTTTCAAAACCATCACTTTACCCTACATTGCTGGGATCACAAAAAAGATCTCCAAAATCTTGAATAAACACAAGATCCAGGTCCGTTTCAACACATTACATAAAATCCGTGATCTGGTTCCGTCTGTAAAAGATGTGATTCCGGACATACAATACCCTGGTGTCTACAAACTAAGTTGCCTCTGTGGTAGTAGTTACATTGGAGAAACCAAACGCCATATCTCGGACCGCATTCGTGAACATAAAGCAGACCTTAAACACGGTAGGACCAACACCTCGGCCGTAGCAGATCATTGTTCTAATTCAGTAGGCTCACATGCCATTGACTTTTCCAAGACGGAGGTTCTTTGTAAGCCATCTGGCTTCCATGAGAGATTCGTTCATGAGGCTATCCACATATACAAACACAGAGACAATTTCAACCGAGAAGATGGATTCTATCTTAGCAATCATTGGAAAGATTTGATAAATCATTTCAGTTCTTGATTGATTGTTCACGCTTACAGTGCCTTTCAGACAGCATACATAAAAACAAATTTCGTCTCCCCCCTCCTCCTTTCAAAAAATAGATGGACTAGTCCTGGCAAACTGCCATCGTTGCGCGTGACGCAAACGTTATTTTTATATATATAAATAAATATGCCGTTTTCAAAATAAATTTATGCAAACCGACACACCTGATGATGACCGTTTGAGTTATGGTCGAAACGTCGTGAGAATTTTTTATTGTTTTATATATATTTTGTTATTTTGTTGTTTCTCTTCAACGTGACTTTACCGAAAAAACTAAGAATATAAACCGCCACTTCTTTCAAATGTTTCTTGCCGTTGGTTTTTCACACATGATGATGACTGTTTGCGTTACAGTCGAAACGTCGTGAGAATTTTATTGTTTTATATATATTATTTTATTGTTTCCCTTCAACGTGACTTCACCGAAAGAACCAAGAATATGAATCACTGCAGTCACGAAAGCTTTAAATCAAAATTTAGCCCTAATATAAGCGACACATGCTCACATTGCAAAGGCGGAGGAAGGCAAAGGGAAACTTCGACCATATCCAGCTTGTACTGTGCTATGACAAGTCTCAGTCTCTTTAACCCTCTTTCCCGCCCCAGTGACGTATGTCATCAGTTTTTCTTCCGGATTCCGTTCCGATTCCATACGCTTATATCATCGGAACGAAATCGATTACGAACGGAATCTGAAGTATAAAAGGGCCATGTGGGAGGGCACGTGGCACAGTTTGGTGCCCGCTATCATAGAGTGCGGTCGTGTCACTGCAGTTCTCTCTGGTGAGTACAGTACGATGTCTTTAAAAACAGCGGCGCCACTCTTGTGACATCCTACCGCTTGCGCGTTCCGAGATTAAGTGGTGAACAGGACACCACCCACCCTGCAACGTCTCGGAAAGGGTCAACATGATCGCTGTTGTGGAGTCGTCTCCCCGCGTGGTGTGCCTGTTGCTGGCCCTCAGGCCATGGCGGTGAGAGACTCCACCCTGATGGGGGGATAATTTGTGCCCAGGGCTCTGCCTAAACGAGCGTCAATCACCTATCGCGTGACTCCACATCGCCTCGGCTAGGGATTATGAAGGCGCACGAGGGGACGTGTGTTGACCCAGGAGAGCTCCGACTCGGGCTTAGATACCAATTGCCGACACTGGGTGTGAGATCGTGGTAGGGGGTAGCGCCCACGATGCAACTTTCCCCACGGCCTAAATACGGATTTCTGCTCTTTGTACCGAGCTGGACATAGTCGTGACAATGCCGCCTTCTCTTGGGTGATGTCTGCATTATTAGGTGCTTACTATGGGCGCTTACCCTCATATGTGTCCAAGGCTTAATGGTGAAAGGTGGTCCTTGTACGTGCATGCTGTGTATAGACACCTCCGATTAGCACGGTTGGCTACGCACGGTGCGAAAGAGGTTTGTGTGTGTGTATGTTGAGCTTCTTTTGCACCGTACGTAGCCAACCCTGCTCATCGGAGGCCAAACGGAGGTGTGCTTTGAGACGAACGTGCCGCTAACCCCGATTTTTTGCTGTCGCTCGCCCCAGATGTTCGCCGACTGGCCGAGCGGCTTCGACGACGCGACCTTTTGGGGCCCGGAATTTGGGTTCGACTCCCTGCCCGAGTGGGCGCAGCAGAGGAGGAGCGCGGCTGGGAGAGGCGGCGCCGGCGCGGGGCCGAGCGAGGCACGGCGGCCCGGCTCCGGCGTCTCCGAGCACGACGAGGATGCGGCTGATCCCGAGCAGCAGGTGTGTTTCCACCCCCTCAAGCCCCCCCCCCCCCCAACGACCTGGTCACGTGTAGGGGATGAGCTACCGCACGGTGACATTTGGCATGTATGTACGTATATGTGGGCCTCGCGGTGGCAAGGTGTTAAATACCTCGCCTACTCCAAAAGCACGTCGATTCTAAATTCTGGAGGGGTAAAAACTGAAGGACCCAGAGACAAATCCACGTGACCACAGGCAGGGAGAGAGAGACGCGCAAACTCCAAATATACAACAGGCATCGGGGTCAGAATCGAATCTACGACCTCCCGTATACCAGGTGAGGGAGTTAACATCTTGCCACCGTGGACGCCCCGAGCGGGACTAACAATGAAACGACGCTTTTCGACTCTCCTCACATTCCCCTTCTTCTCCCTCCCTCGCAGCAGCAGCCCCGGGAGTGCGGCCGCCACTCCCCGTTCCCGCCCGATTTCGGCCCCTCGCTATGGGCGCGGCACGCTGCGAGCAGCCCCCAACCCCCGGGCCGACCCATGACCCCCGACGAGGACCCCATGGTCACCAGGTCGCGCTCGCCCGCTCACGGGCCGCTGCGCTCGAGGCTGCACGACGGCGCGCCGCACAAGCTGCACCCCTCTTCCTTCCCGTCGCTGCGACGGAGCGACGTGTGGCCGGACGAGGTCGGCGGCAGGGGGGCGGCGGCGGCCTTCAAGGGGGCCCGCAGCAGCAGCCCCATGGAGACCGACGGGGCCTCGGGGAGCTGCGGGAGGGCGTCGGAGAGGGTGGTGCCGATCCGCGTGCTGGGACGGCGCCAGGCGTCGCCTCCGGTCGCGCGCTCGCCCGTGGGAGCCGCCGACGGGAGGAACGTGGCGGGCGAGAGCATGGAGACCGAGGGAGCGGACGTGCCGGCGGGGCGGGCACAGGCGGCGGAGAAGACTGACGGCGGCGGGGACGGCGGCGGCGACAGCGGCGGCGACAGCGGCGGGGACAGCAGGGAGAGAGGAGCGCGGTGGGCGGTGGATGCCATGCACCTGGCCAGGCAGCCCCAGGCCCACACTGCTCTCCACTCCAAAGTCCGGGCCCAGCCCGCGGAGGACGCCGAGGGAGCGGTGGACAGGTGCCTGGCCGACGGCGTGGCACAGCCGGAGGTGGGGATGAGGGTGGAAGCGGTGGCACCGATTCCACTGCCGCCGCCGCCGCCGCAGCAACTGAAGCAGCAGCAACAGCCGGCGCCCAGCTCTGACGTGGGCACCGGGCAGCGTGAAGCGACGCCGCCACCGCCGCCACCGCCCCTACCGCAGGCCTGGCTGGTCCCTGGGCCTGCTGCCAAGGTGGCGCCCGTGGGCAAAGTGGCTCCCGCTGGTGCCTCAGCAGCCAAGGTGGCCTCGGCGGTGAAGGCTGCCGCAGCTGCCAAAATAGCGCCGGCAGCGCAGGCGGCGCCCGTGGTCAAAGTGGCCTCGCCGGGGCCCGGCGTGGCGTCCGTCCCGCAGACTGGCCTGCTGCCACCCGAGCAAGTGGCATCCAAGCAGAGAGTGCCTGAATATGCAGTGCCTGAGCAGCAGATGCCTCAGCAGCAGATGCCTCAGCAGCAGATGCCTGAGCAGCAGATGCCTGAGCAGCAGATGGCTCAGCAGCAGATGCCTCAGCAGCAGATGCCTCAGCAGCAGATGCCTCAGCAGCAGATGCCTGAGCAGCAGATGGCTCGGCAGCAGATGCCTCAGCAGCAGATGCCTCAGCAGCAGATGGCTCAGCAGCAGATGGCTCAGCAGCAGATGGCTCAGCAGCAGATGGCTCAGCAGCAGATGCCTCAGCAGCAGATGGCTCAGCAGCAGATGGCTCAGCAGCAGATGGCTCAGCAGCAGATGGCTCAGCAGCAGATGCCTCAGCAGCAGATGCCTCAGCAGCAGATGGCTCAGCAGCAGATGGCTCAGCAGCAGATGCCTCAACAGAAGATGCCTCAACAGAAGATGCCTCAACAGAAGATGCCTCAACAGCAGATGCCTCAACAGAAGATGCCTCAGCAGCAGATGCCTCAGCAGCAGATGCCTCAGCAGCAGATGCCTCAGCAGCAGATGCCTCAGCAGCAGATGCCCGAGCAGAAGATTCCTCAAAAAATGCCCGAGCAGCAGATGCCTCAACAGAAGATGCCTCAGCAGCAGATGCCTCAACAGAAGATGCCTCAGCAGCAGATGCCTCAACAGAAGATGCCTCAGCAGCAGATGCCTCAGCAGCAGATGCCTCAACAGAAGATGCCTCAGCAGCAGATGCCTCAGCAGCAGATGCCTCAGCAGCAGATGCCTCAGCAGAAGACGCCCGAGCAGAAGACGCCCGAGCAGAACGCGCCCGAGAAGATAGCTCCTGAGCAGAAGCTTCCCGAGCAGAAGATGCCGGAGCACCCGGGCTTGCGGCGGATCGCGGAGGTGGAGGCGGCGGCGCAGCGTCTGGAGCGCGACGTGGAGGCCTTCTCGGGCCGGCGCGGCGAGCGCAGCTTCCTGCTGCTCGAGGAGCTGCTCACCAAGGAGCTGCTGCGGCTCGACTCGGTGGAGCCGGCGGGCGACGAGGCGGTGCGGCGCGCTCGCAAGGAGGGCGTCCGTCGCGTGCAGCGCGCCCTCGACGCGCTCGAGCGGCGCGCGGCCGCCGCGGAGTCCCCCGGCGGCGGCGCCGGCGGGCGGAACGGCGAAGCGGAGATGGCGGCGGCCGGCGACGGCGCCGTGACGGCCGAGCGGAGCCCCCGGGGGGAGTCGCGCGGGGTGGCCCCGGAGGCGGCGGGGAGCGCCGGCGCGGCTGCAGCGGAGCCCATGGACGTTTGGTGCGCGGGCGGTGGCGGCGGCGGCGGTGGCGGCGGCGGCGGCGGCGGCGGCGGCTCCGAGCGCGACGACGATTCCATGCGGATCTCAAACGTGGACTTGGACGGAGGCGGTGGCGGCACGGGGAGCAGCGCGCAGGCCCGGGCAGGGACGGCATCCCACGGAGCGGTTTAAGGGATAATGGACGAAGGTGGGGGGGGGGGGGGGGTGCTTTGGTGACCACATCGCAGGCTGTGGGGCTCAATCTCGGCGTAGGTGCGAGGCTGTCGATTACAATGCTGGCTTAGTTCCGCGCTGCCACCAAACACACCAACGGTGGCATTGTGGGAAGCACTGTACTGTCTTATGCAATCAAATGTAAATTAATGCAATTTGACCTCGCACTACGGCGTTAAACGGTTTCTGTTCCTCGGCAGATCTGAGAAATAACGTTGGATTTTTACTAAATTGCCAACCCTTATTTCACAAATGATGAGATCAGAGGGTGTTGTAAGGCCGACTGTTCAGGCTTGCTTTGGTAATTACTACCCTTAAGTCACTAAGTAATGTGAGAATGTCATGGCTCAGGAGTCTGAGCAAACAGCTGATAATCCTGGATTAAAATCCAGGTAGCCACTTACAGTGAGGGAAAAAAAGTATTTGATCCCCTGCTGATTTTGTACGTTTGCCCACTGACAAAGACATGATCAGTCTATAATTTTAATGGTAGGTTTATTTGAACAGTGAGAGACAGAATAACAACAAGAAAATCCAGAAAAGAGCATGTCAAAAATGTTATAAATTGATTTGCATTTTAATGAGGGAAATAAGTATTTGACCCCTCTGCAAAACATGACTTAGTACTTGGTGGCAAAACCCTTGTTGGCAATCACAGAGGTCAGACGTTTCTTGTAGTTGGCCACCAGGTTTGCACACATCTCAGGAGGGATTTTGTCCCACTCCTCTTTGCAGATCTTCTCCAAGTCATTAATGTTTCGAGGCTGACGTTTGGCAACTCGAACCTTCAGCTCCCTCCACAGATTTTCTATGGGATTAAGGTCTGGAGACTGGCGAGGCCACTCCAGGATCTTAATGTGCTTCTTCTTGAGCCACTCCTTTGTTGCCTTGGCCGTGTGTTTTGGGTCATTGTCATGCTGGAATACCCATCCACGACTCATTTTCAATGCCCTGGCTGAGGGAAGGAGGTTCTCACCCAAGATTTGACGGTACATGGCCCCGTCCATCGTCCCTTTGATGCGGTGAAGTTATCCTGTCCCCTTAGCAGAAAAACACCCCCAAAGCATAATGTTCCCACCTCCATGTTTGACGGTGGGGATGGTGTTCTTGGGGTCATAGGCAGCATTCCTCCTCCTCCTCCAAACATGGTGAGTTGAGTTGATGCCAAAGAGATCCATTTTGGTCTCATCTGACCACAACACTTTCACCCAGTTGTCCTCTGAATCATTCAGATGTTCATTGGCAAACTTCAGACGGGCATGTATATGTGCTTTCTTGAGCAGGGGGACCTTGCGGGCGCTGTAGGATTTCAGTCTTTCACGGCGTAGTGTGTTACCAATTGTTTTCTTGGTGACTATGGTCCCAGCTGCCTTGAGATCATCGACAAGATCCTCCCGTGTAGTTCTGGGCTGATTCCTCACCGTTCTCATGATCATTGCAACTCCATGAGGTGAGATCTTGCATGGAGCCCCAGGCCGAGGGAGATTGACAGTTCTTTTGTGTTTCTTCCATTGGCAAATAATCGCACCAACTGTTGTCACCTTCTCACCAAGCTGCTTGGCAATGGTCTTGTAGTCCATTCCAGCCTTGTGTAGGTCTACAATCTTGTCCCTGACATCCTTGGAGAGCTCTTTGGTCTTGGCCATGGTGGAGAATTTGGAATCTGATTGATTGATTGATTGCTTCTGTGGACAGGTGGCTTATACAGGTAAAAAGCTGAGATTGGGAGCACTCCCTTTAAGAGTGTGCTCCTAATCTCAGCTCGTTACCTGTATAAAAGACACCTGGGAGCCAGAAATCTTTCTATTTGAGAGGGGGTAAAATACTTATTTCCCTCATTAAAATGCAAATTAATTTATAACATTTTTGACATGCGTTTTTCTGGAATCTTTTGTTGTTATTCCGTCTCTCACTGTTCAAATAAACCTTCCATTAACATTATAGACTGATCATTTCTTTGTCAGTGGGCAAACGTACAAAATCAGCAGGGGATCAAATACTTTTTTCCCTCACTGTATGATTATGCCTGGTTTGCAAGTGTCGTGATGGAATGATCTCGGGCTGGTCACCAACTACTGGCGCAAAAAGCCATCGCATCAAATTTTGTTTTGCACTTTAGCTAAATTCCATCTCTGAAAGTGAAAATGCTTTGACCTCCACACCACAAACATTACCCTTACACAGTGGCTGTGGGCAAAGTGCTGCCCACCACTCTGATCACATGATCTCGGAGGTAGCTCTGTGACATTAACTTCTGGGGAGCATTCTCGAACAAAGGGTTGCACTGCTCTGTCAGAGAATCGAATGCATTTTCTGGCTCGATATGATGCCACCAGCGAGATCTAAAATAGACAATAAAATTGAGGGTAACATCCAAAGAAATAGATTAATCTGTGAAAATATAATATAATATTGCACTCAGTGTTACCTGGTTGCATGGAAAAAAAGTGCTTGACCTCTGACTAACCCAGCCATATCGTCTATGACCCTTGACAGATATTTCACATGTCAAGACCACTTGAGTTGGCATAACTTTTAGCATTTCCAATTTCTTTACATAGCCAATATCAAAGTGAATTATGCGATAACCATTTGAAACGAGTCGGGGGTTATTAAGTAATTCGCTCATGTTAGCCCTATAAATACATCGGTATCACCAAAGTTTTTACCACCTTAGGCCAATTCCGGCACTCTTTCATGCACAGTAACAGGGAAGATAACGGTGTGAAACATGAAGGTGTAGCATTGTTCTTTCTTAACCTGGAGGTTGAGCCGACGGCCACCAATACAATGGAATACCACGAATCTGTTCTAGATTTGAAGCTTTCGTGACTGCAAGGATCCATACTCTTTGGTTCTATTCGGTAAAGTCACGTAGGTAAAAAAATAAAACAACAAAAATCACGACGTTTCGGCCACAACACAAGCGGCCTTCAAAGACCACGAATCTGCTTTACTGACGTTTATACCACGGTATGGATACTTGCTAATATCGTGAATGACTGACTGATCAGGAGTATATGTGCTGTATGTATGTTCAATGCATCCAGTGCTGCCGGCGAAGCCGCACTGCGCTGACTTCCTAGCACGTGGAAGTGCTGCGTTGCGTGCGGCACGCAACGCACGCGCGCTTGGCCAGCGCGATGCCGTTTTTTGTCATTCTCCGTGCGAGAAAAAATGTACACGTGGTTTTTAGGATTCAAGTTTGAACGTTTTCCAAAAAGTTAACCAAACGACGTTTAAATCCGTGCGCAAGCCACGAACGGGAAATAATCCCGACGTGATAATTGATTTTGCGCTGCAACATTGGCACAGCCGGAGAGAGAACTACCCCCCCCCCCCTGCATGGGAACGATGCGGGAAGTAATTAAAGGTGATGTTGATCTTCCCAAACACGCTACGCATACTGTGGAATGGTTGTGCCATTGCTGTACGATCTGTACAACAACATTTTGTGATTCGAAGGGAAGAGTCGGTTAACATTGACCTGCGCTGTACGTAAGTATGTACGTAGAACTTATTTCGCACCGTACGTAGCTAACCGTGCTAACCTGAAGTGTGGGGGAAGGACAACAAACTAAACACAAAAAGCAGTTCGAACGAAATTTGTGTCCGCGCATTTATGCCGACAATATTGCACTTTGTACATTTAATCCACTGCTGGATGAAGACCTCAGGTCTTGTCAGCCTTTGCAGTTTTATATGACTATGCCTAGTGTTGGATGAAAATCTCCCTCCGGCTCTGTCCATGATGGTAGTTTGACCATACTTCACCATGCTGGCCAGTGCGGGATGGTGAAGTGGGGCTGGTGGGGGGGGGGGTGTGGAGATTCAGATATCATTCGGCACGGATGTTTGCCGTGACCAGGAATTGAACTCGGGTAGCCGGGTTCGCAGCGCAATGTGCAAACTTACTGTGCCATGGTGGAACTTGGACGTTATGGTCATGTGGTGCACCAATAATCACGTGGTTGTGGCTTCAGAGCCTGCTGGGCATCTGTGAAAAAGAGCTAAATATTCTGATTCTGAGATATTGCCTTTGTGCCATCCCTACCCTGTTAGGATGCCGGTTCACTCATCACATTGCTCCAACGTTCAACCGAGTGGGTATAGTGGTGGCACGTTAACGTTACACCCCGTGACACCACCTAGGCGTCGGTGACCATTACGTTCGGTTGAGCGATCCAGGGTGATGCCAAGTTAACACCTTGGTTAAGAAACGCCAGTCCTTGTGTGTGTGTACGTAACATAAATAAAATATTGTATATACACATGCAGTATTATTTATATGAATGTAATGATGTAGATGTTATAAATGCTTTGTTGCAAGTGCATTATTAAAGTCACAAACATCATGTTTCTTGGTGTATGCGTGTGTATGTGGCATATTCTTTTGGTCTTTCGGTGAAGTCACGTAGATAGAAAAATAATTTTAAAAATAACGACGTTTCGATCGCAACACGAGCAATCGTCATCAGGTGAAAAAATACAGCGAGAGAGCTGCTGAGGCAGGATGTTATATAGGCCTGGGATGGGTGCAGCCCAAGGGTAAGTGGGCGGGGCTAGCGATGGTATTTGCATATCAATGTAAGATCGGAGGGCGCCCTGAGGCTGTGGGGGTGGCCATTGTATTGTGAAAAGACGCGAGCCACCGCCACATCGAGGGAAAGGAGCATCGGTGACTGTGCTAGTAAGACACAGCCTGTCAATGTCAAAGACCTCCAACCTGGCAATGCAACTCAGAGAGTCGGAAATAACTGCTAACATCGGCATCCAAGCCGAAACATAACATGAAAATTGTTTAATTTTTTACATATGTAGTGGAGTAGAAGATACACATGGGTAAATTGGCCATATACAGTACATACAAACAGTGTGGGTCATGTAAAGTTGGGCAGGTGATGAAGTCATGGGTGGCGTAAGCAAGCCAATGTAATTAAGGGAGTCAAAGGACGAGGGCTGTGATTGGTCGAGAGGCTGTTAGCATTAAGTGGCGGCGTCACGGAGTCTGGGCCGTTGGACAGGTGCGGAGCTGGGGGGAAAATGCCAGCGAGGTACGTGGCAATTAAGGCTGATTGGAAAGGGGATAAAAATGCTAGGTGATTTGGACGGCAGGGGAGTTGTTGGCGAGAAGTGGAGACAGCAGCGGGTAGAGAGAGATGCGAGGGGAGCCGGCAAGTGTTAGTGGGAAATAGATTGAGAGCCGATCCCAGAGGACAATAAATAGCGATAGCGAGATTTAGCGTGAGCAGAGTGGAGATTACGGTATAGGTAGGTACAGGGAGCGTTAGCGATAGATAAGTCACTGTGTGTGAAGAGATAGACAAGTCACTGTGTGTGAAGAGATAAACTAGTCACTGTGTGAGGAGATAGACAAGTCACTGTGTGTGAGGAGATAGACAAGTCACTGTGTGTGAGGAGATAGACAGGTCACTGTGTGTGAGGAGATAGACAGGTCACTGTGTGTGAAGAGATAGACAAGTCACTGTGTGAAGAGATAGACAAGTCACTGTGTTTGAGGAGAT